TGAAGGTCTTTGTTTTGTTTTTTTCTTTACAGGATCCTTGGAACACAGGCTCATGGAGTATACAGCGTTTGTTCTTCAGCCTAACATCTGAACTCAAAACATAAAACAAAACAGATTAGAAAATTTATAAAAATAGCCATTCTAGATCTGACACACTTAAGAATAGCTTTCAAAGGGCAAAACCTTTGACTGGAACATGTTCCCACCTAAGAGCATCCTAACACTCTATGTCACACTACAGTATCTTCAGATAGCCTACAATGGAGCTCTTCCTATTTTCACAAACGCAGGAAATTTCATCCATTCTATAGCATAATGGAAAAGCTGTTTGATTTTTTTTTTCCCCTTAAAAGCTTTTTCTACCAGTCATAAATTAAAGTAAATAATAGCTTGTTTGCAGAAAAGGGTAAATACCTATAACTTACACTTGAAACCTCCCCTTCCCCCCAGGGGGCTGGAGGAGAATTTGTTCTGTTGATGGCTACTGCCTACCATTTTCAAATTCTTGGAAATACACCATTACCAATGCTTTTGAAAGTTTCTTAATAGAATGCACTGAGTGAGATCATTGCTCTTTAATACACTTAATCTTCAGACATAACTGGTTTTCTTTCCCTCTTTTTCCAAGAGACACCCAAAGTGTGCAAATCTCAGCTGACACACATGCTAGCTATCTTGTCCAAATGCAAACTGATATGCTGAAACACCAGAAAGGTGAAACGTCCCATTTCTGCAGAGAGAAGCCCATATACTTACGTTCGCTGGAAAACACACAGACATTGGTTTCTTGTAGCTGTTCCAGAAGCAACTCCTTAACACGATTTCAGCTGCAGACTTCAGGCAAGCAAGCAGAACAATGAATGGACGAACAGATGGACCCGCGATGTCTTTGCTTAACCTATTACTGAGCAGACGCGGAGCCAATCACGACCCGCAGAGCTCACAATTAGTTGGCCGGGCAGATGCAAGGCAACCTCCCCACCCTGCATCAGGTTCGGAGGCTTCTAAGATAAGCAAGTTGATGTCATTCTCAGGGTCTGCCCCGGGCAGCATGTGTATTAACGAGGGGTGTGCAGCAACAATAGGCCATACAAAAGAGACTAGCAGGCAGCTGCTGTATGAGAGCCAGAGTCATTAGGGAGCAGGCTGCCAACAAGAAACACCTGGCTTGGGCAGACTTCAGCTTCTCCTCATTGTTTCCAATTCATGAAACAAAGAAAGGAATTATTTTTAAGTAGTAAAAGTTGTGAGCTCCTATTAAAATATATCAGTCTCGAGGAATATAATCCCTTCTATTATGGAAACAAAAAGTTCTTTGCAAAGAAAAATATTAAAGAGAAATAAATCTATCAGTAGCTATTGTAGTCCACTTTTCTTGTTAGCAAAATTAATCATATTGGTATAAAGTGCAAGGAGGTATGAAAGGAGCCCACACTAAACACTGAAATGTATTCAAAAACCACTTTCTGAATTTCCTGACACTTTTGTACATTGGTCAATAAATGTAATAAACTTGCATTTACACACAACTCTAACAGAGTACTTGTGGGTAATTTCAATGGAAGGTGAAACTGATTAAATTAAAACCACATAATATTAATAACGTGGAGTAATGGATATTTTTAAGCAGTGGCATTGAAACATTAGGGCACTTGATAGAAAGGAACTATGAACTACTCTTTTGTTCTGGAGTCACTAATATTTGTTCGCAACAGAACTTCTTTCCCTTTTATTTCACAGATCTGTTCTAGATGCCAAGATCTTCCTGTCTCTTTCCAATGACGGAATATCTGAACAAAAGTCAGCAGATAGGCCATAGCCAGCTTTTTATTGTTTTTATTTTTATTGAAGTAAGCCACATGGAAACATAAACTCCAGTCCACAGCTCCCCTCCCCTCACTGCCCAACATTTCCAATACCACCAAGCCCTGTAACACACGCATTTAGCGATATAACAGTAGCAAGGTTTGATGCTTCATGAAATAAGAAGTGGAACACTGTGGACTTTCAAATAAAAATTTGCCACTGGTGGTAACTTCAGTGAAGACAGCTCAGCACAGAGGAGGAGGGGATTCCACATTTGCAAGTGTTCATCTGAATGACTACTAGAAAAGCGTATTTACTGAACTTCAGCATCATTATATAATTAAAAGCAATACTGAGAACCACAGAGGCAGCTGTCCTCTGCTTGGGAGGACAGGCTATCTGCTGGGAAACATCTGTGATTTATAAGAAGAAAAGAATGAGAATAGGTTTGTTAGAACTGTTTTGAGTAATTTCACAAGCTTTATGTGGATATTAAAGTGATTCAGTATAGTAAATGAAATCACATACCATCACGCTATTATAGTGATGCATTTATCATGTGCCCAGATATTAAGCTGCAAAGCAGAAACCCCAACTATAGTTTCTCTGCACTGTCCATTAAACACTCCTAAGAACAACTGCTAACGCCACTATTTTGGAGCTTTTAAGTCGGAGACAGGAGGAGACTCCTCACTAATTTCTGCCACTGTGAACACAAAGAGTGAGAGAAAGCTACCCACGAGCACAGTGGGACGCCTGATCTCCAGCACTGGATTAAGCCTCTTTGCAAACAGCGAATAAAAGCAGTGATCTGAAAAAGCTAATCAGTCCCTGCTGTGGTATTTAGACTACCTCAGTTGCCGGTATTGGATAATGTTAAGCATATTAAAACTTCTGTAGGCAAAACAGGAAGCCAGTCCAGTTCACCTATGTCCAAGAACTGCCCTTAAATGCAAGCAGGATCACTTGGCTAGTCATTAGTTGAATATCTCCCTGATTAGAGACGGGCACTTCTTTTGCAATACCAGAAATGCTTGTTTGGCAGAGGATGCGTATGATAGCCTTTTTGTACATCTGTAACAAATTGAGAACTCCATAGCACAGAAGTGGTGTACTTAGGGCTCTACAAGCACAAATAGGGCAACTGTATGATCTGGCTTAAAAATATGCCTTAAAAATAAGGTTGTAAGAAGTTTACTTGTGAAGACTTGCCCCCTCAATGTCTTCTACAGTAACAATAAGAATATCCCTGCCCCCCCCAACAACTCTTCATACTCCAAGTGCACGTCTTCAGGGAACCAGGTCTAAATTTTAGTTGCAGATTAATGTTCATGCTCACACCATGCTGCAGCACTAACTCTGACTGAAGTCAGAGCAAATACAATCTGAAGACTTACGTTATATTGTTTAATTTACTGAAAATATTCTAGCAAGCTGTAGTTGCATGAATTAAGAAGACATTTTCTCATTCTCCCTTGTGCACAATGTCAGTTACTTAAACCAGCCGTCTGTTCTGGAAGCATCTTCTCAGCTCTTCCCTAAAACAAGCTGGACTGTCCAAGGTTTACAAGGTGCCAGATCATGCTATTAAATGATGCTCATGATGACAGAAAAGCATCCGTATTAAGGTTTAACCAGTACACAAGGCTTCCTTCTAGGAATGATGAGCTCAACAAAGAAACCTTAGTAAGAAACACTGTGGCTCTCCCATCACATCTGTGAGAGGTTGTAACAGCATCACTAGAAGGTACACAGAGCAAATGGACAAAGCAAGTTCTACTTCTTGTGCTAAAACCTCCAAATCCAATAACCTGACTAGTTCAGCAATCTCCTATTACCGTATCTAAAATACAGTAAGTTAAATCCAGTCAACCAAAACACAGCAAACGTAACAGCTCTTCAAATTCCTGGTCTTGCAAGATCAGTAGGCTATAAACACCTATTTTTGTGGCTCCTAGAGATAGGACATTGTGTACAGTGCTCACCAGGTCCCTAATGCCACTCGATTAAACAGCAGGCCAGCACAAAATCCTGAACTGGCTGAAGGTGATGGGCTCAGGGCTCATGGTGGAAGGAGATTTCCAAACAGCACACAGTGAGATGATGGGATGCTGCAGAGAGACAGGGACCAGGGTGAACCTCTCAGCTGGGCGATGGGTGGGAAGGAGAGTGTCCCCTCCCCTCTGCTGCCCAGTTTGGTATGAAAAGCATGCATGGGAGGATCAGAAAGACCAAAGGAAGGAAAGCCTGGAGCAGCTGGTAAATTCAGACAGTGTAGGCTGAAGGTATTAGGGAAACAGTACTATAAGGGGGGACACCCCCCCCCCCCAGTACTATAAGGGGGGACCCCCCCCCCCCCCCCCCCCAAAAGCTGCTAGTTCCAGCCAACTCTTGTTTCAAACACATTGAAAACAAAGCTTTATTTAAAAAGAAATTATTTCATGCAAGCATACAAAATGGTCATTCTGTAATTCAAGTGGTATTATTGCAGCAATTAGAAAGACAACTTGTCCCATTAAAGTATTTCATTATCTTTTATTGGAGAACTTTATGCTAAGCCTCCAGTAATAAATGATGCATTTGCAAGAATATACTGCACAAGTTAAATCAATCACATACCATTGCATTTATGAAATAGAAATGAAGATTGTATGCTACAGACAAAACTCACTGCTGTGCCATTGCAAAACATTTACTGTTGGACTTGGGAGCTGCACGGGAGATGCTTATCTTTAAAATTACGAGGTGGCAATACAACAGAAATTCTTCTTTTCCAGTTAGTATGTTAAGAGATGCAAACTGTCTTAAGTAGAACACTCTGAAAGAAGTTTACTTAGTTCTGAGGAATAGTAAGTGGTGCTCTAGACTGTATCTACACAGAGTCATAAAAACAAACAAAAAAATCACCACCACTCTACAGCCATACAGAGTAGTAAATTAAATGACCAGTAAAAAGTGCCTAGAATTCAAAAAAACAACTGATATTGTGATAAAGATGAGTAATGCTTTGCCTAGAGAATAACTAGCCTTTAAAAAAAAATATTTAAAGCAGCAACTGCATTTTCAAATGCAGTGTAATTTCTCTGTAGAAAAATATGCACTTTCAAACGCATTAAAACAAAGTGGCAAAGGGTTCTTTTGCTCTTTGAAAGAAGACTCAGCTGTCTGTAGTTATGCTTAAAATTCAAAAAAGCAGAGATGCATTTTCCAGCAGGCCATCATCTTAAAAGAAGGTTAGAAGGTCTACAGTTTCATGTATAATCCCACCAGATCATCAGTATTGACTAGCATGCAAGACTTGAACAAACCATTGCAACATTTATCATGACATCCTCTAATATGTTTTGAAGAGAAAAGGAAAACCCTGAATTTTATCGTAAGTAGTGATTACTTTTTTGCTAAGCACGGGTATAAACAGATCCAGTCTTTCCTTGTCTGTGGGTAGACAAAGGCCGTGACCCTGAGCTGTTTGTCATGAGATGACAAGGTGCCCGCTTGCAGCTGCGCCTAACTGCACGGTCTGCCTACGTTAGGAGCCCAACAGGCTTGAGCCATACCAGCCAACCATGGAGAAAGCATAAAGCAGCATTCTGCAACAGCAAAAACACCGGCGTCACCTGTCAGTACCACACTGAGAAGCAGCTCCTGAAATGAGATCAGTTTTCTGAAGCAAAGACTTTCATTTTGAAAGTGAATAGTTTTGATCACGTGACAAAATAAAAACCCACTATGTTTACCTAAAAGGATAATGAAAAAGGAGTTGCCTCAGCACCATAACTTCAGATATCCACTGTAGGCATGGATCCCTAAGCAATGCTCCTTCCGCAGTATCACAGAATCACTAAGGTTGGAAGAGACCTCTGGAGGTCATCTGGTCCAACCCCCTGCTCCAGCAGGGCTGCCTGGAGCCAGCTGCCCAGGACCCTGTCCAGATGGCTTTTGAATGTCTCCAAGGATGGAGACTCCACAACCTCCCTGCGCAACCTGTGCCAGTGCTCGGTCACCCTCACAGTTAAGAAAGTGTTTCC